TTTCAAAGAACTACTATTACTATACTGATACTCTTTATTCATATTCGAAGGTGAATATTTTCTGAATGTTGTTCCTTTTGTTTGTTAGTTATTTTGAACGTTTTGAAGATGATTTATCAAAATGTGGTTTTGAGCCTTTGTCTTAAGTTTCTAAAATAAAATAAGTCGGTTTTGCATGATTTATATTATATATTACTTTGTTATGCTTTTAACTGATGAAGAGTCTTGAGAGAGTATAAAACTCATACTATTTTCCATGTTTTTAGTTCTTGCTCTGTTTATAGTAAACACTCATTTCCATCCCGAAAAGTCTTAACACTAAATAATGCTGGAAATATGTGGTGTTTGAATGAACTAATGATTCCTTTGTACTTGTTGAATGCTCGATTTCGAATTCCAAATACAGTACATTCGTTCGTGCTTATCTAGTACTTCTTGATCCGATTACGTTATTTCAGGGATTCTTAGTACTATAATTCAAATACTCCTAATCATTATAAACTAACTGACATTTGAAGATGTTTGGATGATGACCATAGAGAAAATCATAGTGTTCATTTTGAATTCTAATACTAGTAATCAACAGAAAAGATCTCTGCTAAAACTTGGATCTGTATTTAGTTTTTAAGTAAAACATACCTCAAACTACATATCAGACTGTTAAGATAAAACTATTGATTGGTTTACTAAAAACTTATTTAGTTTACTAAACCAAATTATCATTCATTTTTGTGTTGGTTTTTTGAATCATCCTATGACGGTAATGGGTTTGAGTCCCAGAGTGAACATCAATTCTGGGACCATATCTGCATCATAAAGTAACAAGAAAAAAAACAAAGCAGTTAGATGAACAAACTTACATGTAAAAGTCAAATTTTATTCAGCAGGTGATCAGCTGATTTCTGACAGCAAAGGCTTTCCTTTTACATTTTACAAATTTAAACTGTGTTCAGAAAGTCATTGATTGAATAGCATTGTATTGCTCCAGGTTAAATCTCATATACATTAGTTATTTGACAAAAGTATGCGTTTGATGATAGTATTGGTCATCACGTTTCATGGATTTTGATATCAACAACAATTAATGGTAAACGGTAAGAAGAAACGTCACAACAGCTACATTTCTTAGCACTAAACGCAAATATATCTAATTGCATGAGAAAATTTGTTTGTTTATAAAGCAGTCTTATTCTAAATCAGTGTTATATCCCGACAAGAATTATGAATGGTAACTTTTGAAATTTATTTATTGACAAATACTAAACGTATATCCTTAATGTATAACTATTCAGTAACTAGATTATGTATAACTATACTCCTCTTATTATAAGCTTTATTTTGACCCATGGACTATTATTATACGATTTGCCGTTCTTGAATTATGCCCAGTCTATTAATTACAGTCTCCTACATTCACAGCCACTTTTGTTTAGATATTGTACAAATGTTATTTTCTGTTTTATGGCACGATGTGGCCTGTTTGTTTTGTATATAAACGCAGTATGTTTGAAATACATGATTCATATCGAGGAGGCTAAAATTGGTGTTCTGAACTCAACAGGCAGGGCTTGGCAGGAAGAAGGGTTGATAAAGATTCTAGACCGGTCGTACGGGATTTTGAGTCATTGGTCCTGTCGATAAGTCACTCTTCTCTAATTGGCGGTATCATTACCTTATATATTTGTAGGGCACAAGACCACAAGTTATAACATTCATTATTATAAGAAATATTACAAATTAGTGTGATCAATTTTTGGGAAATTTAATTTCAGAATGTTTTAGAACAAATATAAATTTATAAATGACAATAAATATTAAAATACAATTCTTAATGACATAATGATACTTTATACAAGTAGTAATCCTTTAATTTTTTAATTCATCTTTTAAAGGGCATATCATTTTAAATAAACAGATAAATCGTAGGTTTTTTAAGACTGAACATCACGCTCACTTCCTCATTAAAAAATCAGACTACTAAATAGCTTAAATTGTTACAAAATATACGTTAAGCAGGTTGAAACAAAGGTATTTATTTAAAAATCTGTTACCGTGTTTACATCTTGTTGTTGGTTTTCGCCAAACACTTTTTCTTTTTTATTGTTAACGTACCTAGGTTCCTGCCTGGAGTTATTCGTGATCCCGTGCTACTAGACATGGAAGCCTGTTAAGCGGAAGCTTCTTCTTTTCGGTCCACAAACATTTGAACCATTTGAACTTGTGAAAGTAAATTTTTTTCAGCAAATAGTTAGTTAATTAGCTATTTAACTACAAAATTTGGGGACAGAATGCATAAAGATTAACAAATTACTTTTAGGTTGATTGTTTGATTTCTTTAAAGTATCTTATGATAGTAAATAATACACTTCTTTTAAGGATTTGCAATTGAGAATGTACTGATTTATGATTGTTCTCAATGAAATGGAAAGCAAAAAGTAATAATATTGTAAAATGAATACGATGTTTTGTAGCTGAAATCGCAAAAGAGAAAGCTTTAGAAATATGTGTTGACATGACAAATGTTGTTAATACAATCTGTGTTGAAAAAAACCAAAAGCAACTAAAGATTGCATTACATTCGAATTCAGCATCTGTCTTCATTTTGCATGGAAGAAACGGCAAATATTGTGTCGAAGAGTAATGCTAAAATGCAGTCAGAAGTATAGAGTATTTAGAGGATACTTATGACGTACTTTGGTCTGATACATGACTTGAGAGATCCGGATTACTCAGTATGGATCAGGTCACAACATAGTCATTCATAACTTACCACCTTTCGCCTGACATATCTGTATCTGATGAATGTCTCGTATCTCATCATTTTTTATAAATAGCGTACTTATCATGATTGCTATTAATGTTATTAACCTGTCTCTGATCTCTTCGGTAGTCATAGCCTTCGTCTATCTGTACTTCTTAGATTTTTGTCCATCTAATTTTCTTCCGTACGCTATTCATTTTTATACTACAATAGTTTCTTCTCGTCGATCATCTACATTCTTGTCTGATAATTTTTCATATTGCAAAAACCCAATCTCTTGTTCGATATTAAGGTTTGTTCTGTTTCAATAATCTCCACAGCCCTAGAATGAACACACATGTTGACACCGAAGAAAAATATTCCTCAATTTGCTATCAAATTTATTGGCATTGTTACATCCGAGTGGCCAGACTACTCATATTAGATTATGACGAAGACCTGGAACGGCACAATGAAATTAAGAAGCGAGCACAAACGAATCAGTCGAACAAAGCTATCTTGCTACAAATATATTGGATGATGTCACTTGTTTGAAAGAATGTAAATCTGACCTTTGGATATTATCTAGAAAATCGAATATACAAACGGAAAAAGATGATATCATGTAACGGTGAATAAATCCACGAAGTAAATAGTTCTGTAAGTCGTCGACATTAATATTGACCTCAATAGTTTTGCTGAACACTCCTAGATGATGGCCTTTGTTCACGCATTCGTAACACATAACGAGAGGGTATGCGGTGCTACGCATTCTCTGCAACTGCTGACCAGCCCAAACTAAATGTATCGTGACATATTGATAGTCTTGAATATTTATCTTTAAATCTCATTATTTCTGACCTCTAATTTGACTGAGTTGACATACTTCGACTGTAAAGATGTTGCGTGTAATGATGTCGTCGAACTTCGAATACCTGTGGCATCTTCAGTCATAGTGATCGCTTTATCAACGTAAATAAAACATTATTCCCATATGTCCAACTTGAAGGTTAAGGTTCTCAAGGCCTGAATGATTAAGTTGCTCTATTTAGGAGTTTTGTTTACATATGCATGTAGCCTAGGAAATACCCTCCTTGGATTTGATGTATTAATGGACGAACTAACGTCACTTATCTTACCTGTGACCGAGACTCGGTCATTCCATGATTTTGGCGTTACTTCAGAATTATCGCGATACAACTACGCGAAAAGTGATCGGAACTGATGCAATTAAGAGAGTGAAGTCGTTGTATACACAACTAATGATGTGAACATCAGTCCCTTTGTTTGTGAATCTCATGATAGAGTAACTGGTGAAGAAACTAGCAGCAAACCCATTTTTGAAGGTTTAACATTTTATTCGGTGTCATCTATCCCACTACGATCGTCTTAGCTGACGACTTTATTTTAAAACATATTCAACTATGGAGTAAAAGCTACAGATACCTAATATTAGGATGTTGTAATGCGCCTAATATTAACTGGACAGAGATGGCCCATTCATGATCTGAAATCTTAATTGATAGTGGGGTTCTGAAGAACTTAGGGTATCATACTCGATTTTTATGAGGCAGCATTTGTTTCAGATATGAGGTGGATATGATAAAACGAGCTCGAGGTCGGGTGACCAAAATAGTAAAAGGTCGGTTAAGCCGTTCTTATGAAGACAGACATAAACACCCCAACTTAATTTAAATTGTCTAACACGTTAAATCAACACTGTCTGCTGATACATTCAAAAGCGAGAACGAATCTTCAAATAAATATAAATTGTAAGGATTAATGTAGGTCAATTGGCCTCCTAACTTCACTGCGGAAGGTTGATGATTGAGGCTGCTGGTACATAAAATCTATGTTGCACAGCGGCAAACACAATCACTCAAATACCTCGATATAAGAACCCTTAGATGTTGACCATTCTGATTAGAATTAGTGCAGTCGATTTACAGAAAACAATCCAGTTTGACATTACTAGAGATAAGAAACTGTAAATCGAAAGAAAGGAAGGAGCGCTGAGAAATCTCTCAGTTAGAACAAACTTATCACAAAGTCATTGGATATACTGATTATTGATTTGTTTGAGATATTTTTTAAGCTACCAATTCTACCCTTTTATTTGTTGTAATTAAAACTTTAGCAAACTAAATTTGAAATTCTCCTAACGTATATATTTCTGAAAATTACACTTCAAACTGTGATGTCAAATGTGTTTTAATTGCTCAAATAGTTGTAACCTTGTGTCATAGCAACCAAAGACTTTACACTTTTAAATATCTCATTTAGAATACTTGTTTTTACAAATAATCATGACAAGCGTCCTTCCTTCAAGAAATCCAGAGGGAACATACAGTTTTGCTAGTCAGCCTAAAGTGGTAGCAAGGAGAAAAATTTATCGGGAGAATATGTAATTTTTGTATTTATTAATTTTTACACAAGAACAGAGAAGAAGATATAAACAGTAACTACGGAAATATCATGTACGATAGGAGAGTAATCAGAGGAAACACATACGCTTTGCATGTATTGCCTGCTCATGCTCAGGCCGATCCTATTGAAATTCAGAAACAAATAGAAAGGAAACGTAACGCTATTGCTCGTCGTAGAATGCGTGAAGAAGTATGTTTTCATCACAAACTGTGATAATAATTGTTTTTTTGCTTTTTTTGTATTATATGAACAAACAAATCAGAACTACACTTCGACGATAAGATACTGACATTACAAATAGATTTTCTGCTATGAATTAGTTTGTTAATTATTGAATCTCTTGTGTCTTAGTTACATTTGACTTGAGTTTTGTACATTTGCCTAAGTCGTAGCATGTCCTTACATCCGTAAGTCTTGTTTAGTTTCAAAACTATGTTAATCTGGTGTTAGTGTTGATAGTTGCATGCTTACATATATTAACCATAGAGTCAGACAATTCTAAGACCTATGGAAAAGAAACACTAAAATTTACATTATTTGAGTTACACACTGCAGACTAGTACGCTGCATGAAGACTTTGGAGTTTTAACATGACCTTTATTTCGCCGCCTTATGTTATCAAATCTTGTTATTAACAAACCTGTTTGGTTAATTCGAACGATGTAATAAAGATATGTGGATTTTGAGAACCATGTGGTATATTAGCACAATACGTTTAGAACAATCTGAACATATACTTCGTAAGAACATTTGGGTATGAGAAAGTTAAAGGTTGACAAGATAAATGGTGGGTTTTACGAAACAAAGACACTAGAGAAAACTTTATGAATAACAATGTGAAACTCAACACGCTGTGTAATATGTCTATATATCCACGGTATAGTTAATATGCGATCGAGTTGTTTTTGAGTGACTGAGTAAGGTTTAAATCTTTGTATAGCCAACAATAAATCCCAGCGCATGTCTGAGATAGATTTTGTATAAAGCTGCAGAGGCTAAGTTAAACATCAGTCTTATAATCTGCTTCAACTAGATTGTTTGAAATATATTGGGCTAAGATATCACATAGCTCTGACGAAGTTCGTATTCTTATTACACTATTATACAATATCTTTTCTGTCTAGGAAGTGTTGAGTTAGTTTGCATACAGAGCCAATAAAAAACCCTTATTCAAAAATATAATGCAATAAAAGTAACGTTTAAAAGCAGTTTCATCATTTGGCAGGCCAAGATAACCTCTCTCCTGGCTAAACAGGATACGTTTTCAGTCATTATGTCGTATAGTTCAACTTGAAACTGAAAACGCGGTATATATCTGTCTAGCATTAAGAATGCTAAAACTCAACCAAATTGAGTTCAGAATTATTTCAGTCGGTTGAATTCTCTCTAGTTCAAAAATACGCAATGATTGCTCGCGAAAGAGATTTATTCATAGAAAAACGATGTCGCATATCATATAGCCAGATGAGATAAACTGTAAAATTGCTTTTTAAACAAAGCGTTATGGATTAACAGCAGTACATTACTTAGGACAGGAATACTTTTATCTCTTATCAATCTGAGTGGTAACAAGTTTAATGTTATCTGATTCAATTTTTTAGTTATATTATAAATTGCCCATCAGCCTAACTAATGTGGAGGTTCTGTGCAATTTTTTCCATACTTTCTGGCCAGAAAAGCTTACAAGGATGTTCTGAAAGCAGGTTTCGCTAGCAAGACATGTCCATATTCTCGTAGGAACCAGATGTCTCAGCATAAACATTTTCGTGTATGGAATGCAGTTAACTTCATACTTGACTTTTTTACAGCATATTTACAATTAAATACATAAGGTTTATTTTTTTCATAGTTCAACTAAAATCTTCAGTGCAAATCAGGAGCTAAAGGACCAGAACCTTATGATAATACCAGTAAAAACAGTTTATAGATCTGCTGAACACATTTTGTCAGATAGATAAGTACACAGAACATAGTTCATCCCACCAAGAATTGTTTTGTTAAACTGTTGATTAACATTCATCCATTACTGAATTCCAAACAGAATAATAAAATTCCAAGCATTTTGTATTTCCTAATAATGCCTCTCAATATTCTAAAATATGCCTGATCTAATGTAAAATCAGTAAAAGCATCGATTACTTTCAGAGTAAAATCAAATGAATTCTTAAGTTATGTAGGGCGAAGCAACAGTTGGCGAATTTCATGAATGCTATTATTTTTCAAATTATATACCATTAACTTCGGCCCAATTGGGTATTTCTCTAAGCTGTCATAGGTTAAAATGACCATAAGTACTATATAACTCAGTTACTTCAGTTTACATGGTTAGCATTATTTTAACTATTACATTCAAAACCTTTTTTAATTTATATGTATTTACGAATCATTTAATGATTGATAATTTTGTTGCTGTCGGAAAACTTAGCTCAGACCGAAATCCCCATTACCTCTAGATGGTAGACTTCATCAACCAGTTCAGACCGAACTTTACTTGGAAGCTCTTACGGAACAAATCGAAGAAGCAGATGAAACTTGTCAGACCGATGACTTTCTGGACAGACCACCTACTCCACTTTACGTACCAGCCAAAGTTGGTGTGGATGTAATGACTCAAATATATGAAGGAGATGTGAGTCGAAGATCCTTATTTATTAGTATTACCCTTATTTTTTATTAGGGAGTGAATATAATTCGACAGATAAAGTATAATCAGTCAGTCATCCGTCACAAACAACGTTGAACCTGTCATATGTATGGATCAGTTTACTTTATACCGACAAATCAGCATATGGAAATGAAATTACGGCGGCAAATGTTAGAATATTCAAAGAAATAACAGTGTCTGCGGCAGAAAAGGATTTTACACATAAACAACTTTACTCAAAAAGCAACAAATAATTCCATAGACAAAAAGCATAGGATGGCTGTAAAACTACAGAGTTTGACTTGAAAATAGATTTCATTAGTTTTGAAAGGAAGCAGTCATAATAGAAACATGAAATTTCTGAAGTTATTCTTTGGTGAATTAGTGTGTTGGTTTTTAAATACCTATACTGCAGTACGTTTTATGTAATCAGTATTGCATGGTTTCTTTTGAGTCATTAATCATTTTAAAGATCGTTTTCTTCATTGACTAACATCAGTTTAGCCCTTGGATTACTAAATAATTATCTAAAATTATTTTGTTCACAGATACTGACGGTTCATTTTATAATTGTTTTTAATAGGTCAATGAAATTAAAATATGACCAGTCAGTGAGAGAAGACAGATAGACAGCTAGCCTGCTAAATGTTGTTACACTGGTAATCTTGTAACTTCTTTCCTTGCATCGATTTTATTCCGGGCTCCACTGAGCGTAAAAGAACCTTACTGTATTATAAAATTATTTTATTGTTCTCAGTCTTCTAATTAAATCTCTTGTATCGGCATATGGCATGACCTGGTCTATATTTGGTGTACCCATTCTAGTGATCGTATAATCTTGTGCCCAAGTCGTAATAAAGTATCATATAGGGTGAAACACAGAAATCTTAACACTATGCCGTTAGAAACGTTCATAGATTGAGGAATTGATGATACATAAAGTCGTACGTACGAAGTTCTACGCTTTTACTGACTGACTAAATGTTGTAACCGTGGATTGCTAATAAATCTCCTAGTAGGTTTCCGATTCCCCTTCATTGTTATTGTTTCACCAAATGATAACTAGACAAATTACTTTGTAAATGACCTTCCTAAACCATAAGTTTTTACATAAAAAGCCTATTATTTAAAATTAAAGGATAAATGATCACTGCACTTCACATTAGGAAATTGTTTGTTGTGACACATGAATTAATGTCATTCAGAATTATTCATCTCTTGTATTTTAAGTGTTTTACTGAGGAATTAAAAGAGGATAAATCTATCTTAATACCAAAAGAATAACAATTCAGTAATGAAAATGACAGTGGCGTAGTAAACATAACTATTTATTTCATATTCATTCTAGTTATATTTGTACTTTAAAACAAGAATTCCAATAAATATTCCATTATAATTTAGTAGTCATTTAATTTATTTTTCAGCTTTTTGACTTTGATTTAGAAGTTACACCAATATTAGAAGTTTTGATTGGTAAAACAATTGAACAATCTTTACTCGAAATTGCGGAAGAAGAAGAATTAGCTAGTATACGTGCTCAACAGAATGCTTTTGAAGAAATACGTCAAGCTGATCTTTTAGAAGTTGCTAGACTTACAGAGCGTGAAAGACGTATACAGTAAGTTATAAAATATGAACAGATTTGTACAATGAATAGATAATAATATAATAATACCAATAACACTGTTGTATGCCGGCTCAGTAGTCTAGTTATTAAGTGGTTGCGTGCGAGGCTGAGGGTCCTGGGTTCAAATTCCGCGGGTGTAATCGTGGATGCACAGTTCTGAGGAGTCCCATAATAGGATTAAATAACCATCGAGTGCTTCCAAGTTTCTAATGGTAGTCTAACATCAGTCAATTCACAATATCAATCAACAACATAGTTATTAATATTGGAGTTAATTAACATTTTAGACTAATAATATTACATTTTCCATTAGCAAAATTAATCATTTATTATAAAAACTGTATAGAATAGTTTAAAATTTTTGTTTAAATACATCTTAAAATATTTAAAATTTTGCGACAATCTTTAAAATGGTTAACTTGTTCACTTCATTCTACTAAACATTCTGTAACTGCACGTTAACAACATCCATACTATCTCAAATAGTGTGTAACTATTCAGTTTGACTGATCATTTACATTCAAGGAAATATTACTTCAAGGTTGCAAACAACATATGCAAGTTGAAGGACTAAACGTTTTGTTAAGCTTTGTCTCCCATTCAACCGCTTTCTTTGAACTGTTATCTATGAATATGGCTGAAGAAAATTTATACAAGTCGGCTGTTTTGTTGAAACAAAATTTTTTCTCGCTTTTGCAAAAGATAACACTGATTATAGGGCAGATGTTATTATTGCATTCGCTGGTAGATTACGTAACAGATACTTGTCAAACCATTAAATATTTCATATTGTTTGAATCTTAAGTTACCACGCCAGAAAAGAATTCTAAACACAACAAACATGAGTGATTATTAATGCATAAATAACTTCGTAGAAAAAACTCAACAGTAAAATAAATGAACACCGATTACCACGACATGCAAAGCTAACCGGTGTTGGAGATGGTTGGAAGAAAGTTAGGGGCGGCTAAACCAAAACGTGTCATCAGTGCTTGAAGTCACTAACTTCTGGTCTGAGCCATGTTGGTAGATGCCGACTACATGGTTGGAGACTCTTGGTGACATGGCTCAGAATCGATCACAATGGCGTCTGTGTATACACTCTCTGTCTTCCCTTAAACCATGAGATTAAAATTGCTTTGTATTTTTCTTTCTACGAACTAATTCTTTCATCCTGTACTATATCCTTATTGCAATCTTTCTTTTATATATTACCACCTCTGAGTTAACTACTTTTATGAATCTGGTGTCCATCTTGTTGTGTTAATGAGTTGTGGCAACTTGGACCGATGCATATATGTGCCTTGTCCTACGTTGTAGCTGACTGACTTAATAAACTCTGGTCTATCGGTATTGATATCTGCTATGGCACAGATTCAAACCAAGACGTCCGTATTTCTCACTATAGGTTAAATCAATTGTCAGTAAATTTATGACAAAAAAAAGACTTAACTAATAATAATTCAACACTGGATGATAATAAATTAATGTAGAATATTTAACAACTCTTTTAAAATCTTCTAAGAAATAATGACAAAACACACTCACATGGGTTGAAGGACAAATACTTGAAAGGCTTATTTAGTATGACTAAGTTAAATGTTCATGCTTACATTGAGACTCAAACCCATAATCAATCTATTAAAACCTTTACAAATAGCCTCATATCCATTGAAAAAGTTAGTGGCTAAGTAAACTGTGTAGCTTAGGATTACTTGAAGAAATAGTTAGTAGCTTCAGGTCTCAAATATGAATATCAATACTTTGATGCAGGTAAAAAAAGTTGATGATTCTCTAATGGAACGAAATGCTCAGTCTAAATTTAAATTTTTGGCCTAAATCCAAATATATTAAAACCTTGTAACTAAAAAGTAATATCGAGTAATTCGCTCAAATCAAATCGAATACGCTCAACTACAGTTTTGAATACCAAAATAATAATAATAAAATGTAAACCCTTACAAATAACTTAATCTAACTAACTTCACAGATTTCAAAAGAATAAATAAAGGACAAGTACATTCAGAATATTAAGTCTATATTCCACGTCGATGGGTTTCCGATCAAAGTAATTAATGTTATATCATGTTGGAAACAATTATGGTTTATCATTTTCTAAAGATCATCAAATTTTATGTACAGCGTAAACTATTTAGTTAAATTTAAGTTTATTAATAAAACACGACCCTTCAGTAATCTGATTGACATCAATGGTCAGTGACTTATTTTAAAGAGATTAAATGTTCATGTTGTCATATTATTTTAGAATAAAAAGATTTTGGACAAGATACTTGGTCAGTCATAAAAAAACATAAAACTTGAGATTGCTGTGTATCAGTTTCAGTTGCACACTTTGTCTCAACATAGATAGAGGATGTTAACCGAATGAAAATATAAGGCATTAAAACTATAGAATGATCAAATCTAATGTTAAATAAAAAAAGTATAAAATCAAATAATAAAATGTATTAGAGAACACTGTGGTTGTATGCTGCTTATCGTGATCGATATAAGTAGTATGTAACATCAATCAGAAATGGAATACCTGTTAGCAGAAGAATGAAAAGATCAAATTGAAGAGAACAGGAATGTAAACAAGAAGTAATTTTAAAAACAATAGGAATGAAAGAATGATAAAGTTTGTAAGAGACAACTGATGGAAAATGTGCAAAGAATGTATTTAATGTGCAGTTTTCATATTTTATGAACATACTCTGTAATTTCACATTGATCTTCCCCATCTGACTTATCGTTCACTGTAACACTAGAATTCAGGATTTACTTAAAAAAAACGAAAACATGTAGATTATAGTGACTAATATTGGTTTGTTATTCTTGTAGTAACTTACTATACATTACAATCATCTCGTATATAACGGACGTGTGTGTATACAAATTTATCTCAATCATTATATTATTAACACTAACAAGTTCAATACACATTGACTAGAAAACTTCAATTTAACTCATTGGAAAATAGTTTCATTTTTATAAAACTCAATTTGTTTTGATCGATTATTTTAGAGAAGAAAAAGAACGACGTAAAGCTCAATATCTAGCTGTAATTGAACAAGAAAAAGAATTGACTACAAAAGTTGCTGCACAAGCATTTGCTAAAGCCTATTTAGCTGACTTACAAACACATGTATTTAATAATTTAACCGAAACCGGTTACTTTTATGATCCAGTTGAAAGAGGTAAAAATATAAATATTAATATCAGATGGGTTTTGTGGATATTATAGTAATTTCAATGGTTAAGATCATGAGTCAGTTGAAGCTAGACCAGCATGGAAAACCTGGATGGCCGTTTCGTCCTATCGTGGGACTCCTCAACAGTGCGCATCCACGACCTCGCCCCCCCCCAGGACCTACCTTCAAGAGGTATATCCTGGAGTTCTAGTGGAGTTCAACCAGGTCTGTTGTGAGATAGTAACCCACTGAAGACCATGGTGGATGTATCGCTCAATTTCGTGGATTAGTTGAAGTTAGACATTAGCAGCGTTGGATGCCGGCTCTGTGGTCTAGTGGTTAAGTGCTCGCGCACGAAAACAGCAGGTCCTGGGTTCGAGTCTCGCAGGAGGTGAGGTCATGGATGAGCAATACTGAGGAGTCCTGCAATAAGACGAAACGGTCGTCCAGTGCTTCCAGGTTTCCCATGGTAGTCTAGCTTCAACTGACTCATGATCTTAACCATATAAATATTAACTTAAATTGATTGAATTCAATATAATGTATATTTTTCGTTTATCTAGAAAGTATATAATATTAGTGAATTAGTTAATCACAAGGTATTAGTTTCAAATGTTTTCATTTATAAAATTTCAAAGAGAGATAATCATGTATCAATGATAGTATTGATAAGTCTTGCTAATTGAACTCTATATTCGGTTCCTAAGCTATTCTCGTAACCCCCAAGCTAGAATTACACAGCGACCTGAATGCGAGAGAAAAGGCATAAAATATGCAAGAAGCACTTTACTCCAAAGGTTCGTTTTTGTACAGTTTCCCGAAAATTCTGGATTGTTACTAAACATAGTAGCAGTATGGTAATCAGCCAATCAGAAACTCTATATGTGAATTTTCACTTTGTTGATGTTTCTGGCTAAACTTTAAGTGAACGTTGATTGGATAAAATGCTTCTTAGTGTTTCCTGGGCTTTTCTTGTCTTTTGCGAAAAGTTTTCTGGATCACCCCAACAAATATTCAATCTGAGCATAGATACATTCTTTTGTATCTATTTAGGTGTTAACTTTAATATAAATTGATTTGATTGATTCATTTACTGTTAGTCATTATATTCATTCAATATGAGTCGGAACACTAACTTCAAACTCATCTTTGATAAGATTACATCTTAAAGATAAATTTAGCTATAGAAGTTTCATAATTTAAATAAATTATTTCAAGATTACTAAAGTAGTTATGGTAACCATCAAAGTTACATATTGTTTAAAATTTAAGAAAAAACACTACTTTTCAAGGTTCCCATTTAATAACTTATTGTATTAAAACGAGTTGTTTACATAGTTTGAAAATTACATTTTGATGAATAATATTCTCACTATGGTGGATTTTTAAAGTGAGAATCATTTAAAACCAGTATCATTCATTGGTATCACAAATAATCAAGTACAGAAGAAGCGCTGAATCATAGACTCAGGTTACTTGGGAATAACTAAAATATTTGATTTATAGAATCTTATCAGTAATGGAGATTAAACAACATAGAATAGATTACTGCAAAAAAAGACTTCAGTTCACTCGAAGATTGTTCACAGATCGAGCACATATGAAAATCGGAAACAAGTGTTACAAATGTTAATACGTTAAGATTATGATGATAAATAACCTGAATATTACAAATTTATGAAAATTACTAGGAGTACTACACAGCAACAGGTATGATGGATGGAAATTGATAGAAAATAAGAGTGATTACTGGATAATATTAAGTAGAACAACATAACACACAAAAATTATCGGATAGGAAAAAACGAAGGTAAGATGAGTAAAAAAGGTTAAAAATAATAATTGCCGAGTTGAAGTCACTAACATTCATCATTTTTAGCAATGAATCAAATTGTTTAAAAGTGTCGAATTTCTTCTCAGTTAACAAATAGGATTGGGAGATAATTATTTTAATCTCTGAATTGTAAGTTTACTTCAAATTTCATTACTAGTGTTTATGTGAAAAATTCATTTCATAAACGAGTATTTTAAGGGAACTACAAATAGGGTAAACAAATTTAATCGAATATGAGATCGCCGTTTTACACGTTGATCTCTTCAATCGTTTGAGATGCTTAGTTATTTTTTTTCAAAACTTCGAGCTTATTTTAGTTCGATATACGAATTAAAACAAAGTGGACTGGAAATAACTTAGACGGTTTCAAGAGATGAGGATTGGCTTTTGAAACTGTAACTCAATGGCTACTGAGTTTTCCTTGGTTTTGATATCTCACCAAATAATTCTAAAATATATATGATACTAATAATACACTATACTGTATCCAGTAATACATATAACATGGAACTATTTTCTTCCAACTTGTCTCCAGGATTAAAAACTAAGAGTTGGATGTCTAGAAAATTTGTGAGTGTAGCCTAAATAGTGAATGTAGTCATTTCAGATAGAATAAATGACAACTGGATAAAATATTTATAAATCCTTTACCCGTTACAATTATTTTGCCTATCAATCTGTTTCGTTTTTGTAGATATTGAAGAAGGATTTTTACCTTGGCTCATGGAACAAATCGATGAAGAACTTGAATTATGGAATGATGCTTGTCTATTATTAGATGGAATGATTAGAGAAGTAAGTTTTATGATCTTAAGCTCTTCCTTATAAATTGATTTTCTCAAATGTTTCCATTTGATTTATAGCAGAAATTTATCCTCCTCTTTGGAAAATGCGTCTGTGCTAGGAGGCCCCCTTGACAAAAATATACACAAATAGAATTACTAAACGTTTTTTTTTGAACTGATACTGATTTAGAAAACACGAGGCACTGGATCTCTTCTTTACTCTAATTCATTAACTCCCTGGAAGTGCCCACCAACGAAATTCAAGCAATCTGGTAATAATGTACTATAGAGTTACTAATTAGGAATATAACAACCCACACTATTTCAGAAGGTCTACAGTAAATTTTCATATAATTTACATTATCATATCGATTAATTATTACTTAGGTTGTTCAGGAAAGACACCATGAATATCGGCAATTAGAACTAATGGCCGCTGAAATGGCGTTAATGCAAGAAGCAGGTGCTGCTTTAACAGGTCAATCAGACCAACCAGAACCAAGTGATGAGCTTACCGAAAATAGCAAAATTGAAAATATTATTGAATCTTCTTTTGATAAAGAACCAGGAGAAGAAGAAGACGAAGAAGAACAAACTGAAAAGGATGACCGAAACGATGAAGGTGAAATACAGGCGGAAGGGGAGAAAGATGAACCGAATAGCGAAGTGAGAGTTTGTTGAATTAGTCTAATCTAATATTTATGCATTCTTTATAGTGAAAGTTTTGTAACCAAATTAGTCGCAACGCTTAAAGGCATAAATTTTGATACTACTACTACTTACTACATTATTTGATATGACTGATTCACGTAACGTGTTGTAATTTATGAAGTAAATTATACTAAGAGTGACAGCTAATCTTTAAGCAATTATTCATTATTATATATAATTTAGGCTATCAAATATGTTTTACAGAAGATAAGGTAACAATAAGTGGTACTCTCGTACTTTGCAAATTCGAAGTCATAAATTACTCGACATCCATCAATAAATGGTATGACAGACAACCTAGGGCAACTTATAACATTGGATAAAAAAGTGACGAGCAAAACAAACATAATGCTTGCCACTACTTTGATGCTTATTTATATTGAAATCATGGCTATGTAATATCAACAAGAATCATTATACTGGAAGGTATAGTAACACGAACCAGTAAAGCTTTAACAGACCGAGCAAACCAAAATTTTACATTACGTATCATGGGCGTACCTTAGCAAGTAAGATTACTCCCTTCGCCAGGTTAATCCCAAATATGTCTCTGTATAAGTCAGTTCATTTACCTATAAATATTCGTATTATCAATACTTTCACAAGTCCTCTAGGGACACAATCTTCGATGTATTCTTGTCTTTTCAATCTGTATAGCTGGGTTAACCAAGCAATAGGAGTATGTTTGGTGGTTGAACCGAATTGCAGGTGCGGACTCCTAGGTTTTCAGTGAATTCTAGCTTATTTTAATTACAAAGCCCTCAAACAATTATTATTTGACTGTTTAGTTACATACATCTAACTCTTCCTTTACAACCTACTGAAACTTGTAATGAAGATGAAGTAAATTTGTCATTTCGACTTCGAATTTTTCACCAGTTTGCACTACGAACCCCATTTTAGGAGTTAATTGAGTAAATGTTGTTAGCTCTAATATTAATATACTATGGTTAAGTATTCAGTGCTAGTAAATGACGAAAACTATTAGTTAGGTTCATTGCATTATCAGTTTGGGTTAGAACTATCCTACTGTTAGTACTTTGATTGAATTTCGATTAGTCATAGTCGGCATATCGCGTACACTACCCCAGTATAATTCTTTTGTGGTAACTTTTATAAACTAGATGGCTTGTGGCCGGCAGCGGAATTTGGGAAGCCATATAGCACTAGTTGGGACTCTTCAACTGTATCCCATTGTTAGTGACTATTTTGACGGAGGAAATCAGTGAATAAGACACTGGGTACATATCAAGAGTGGAATACACACACATCCAACCGATGAGCTGCAATTAGGACGAAACATGTGAATTGAATCCCACTATTATCTACAATTTGTCTGGCCTATATTAGTTAAGCTACTGAGAAACAATAAGGATCTATATAATACTCATCCCATTGCAAAACTAATTGACATAGAAACAACAATTACAGTAGAATAATAAAAGATTGATGGATTTCATGGGTTATTGTCAACTACTTACAAGCCAATATAATTCTAGCAAAACAAGAGATCTATTATTTGGTTTCCCATGAGATAAAACAAATGTGATAGTTTTTAGTAACTATGCATACCAACAGCTGAATATTCCAGAAGTCTGAAAAAGTAAACGTGATACTACTAATTTACAAAGTACAGGTTCATTTACTTGGCTTTGAGTCATACTGTTTGTATGAGGGTTACTAATAACAACTTGTTCACTCCAAATTGAAGCACGTGGAACACTGTTTGAATCTACAATCGAGAAACCACTACTCCACCAGAAGCACATGAGAACGTAGTGACTCACATAATTAAAAATGGGAAGCACTATGGTAAGAAAAATATATTTCAACATATACCTCAAAGGAAGGGGTATTAAATAAAGCACAACCATGGTAATTTAAGGTTGATGATACTGTACTATTGTATACACATTAAGATTTTCCACATTTATACTAAATTTTCCATTTAGATGAACGATCAGAATGGTGATGAAATAGATGAAGAATAATGTCACGTTGACAATTGGAATATTTGGTTACACTGAATAACTGGGATCTACGGAATGTGATTACTTATTTTATCTTGCAGAAACTATATGTACAAATATCAAATATTTATTTACTTAATGAAATACAATAGAATGAGCGAAAATAATTAGTCTTTCTGTTTAGTTTTATTATTCCAGTCCATAAATTTTACTTTTATGAATAATTGCTGAATGAATATCAAGATAAATGCAAAAGTAGTGCGAAAACCAAAAACAAAACTGATTGTTTAATTCCCTGGTACGGCCGAGAGTGGGGAGAGTCCGCTCTCCCTCTCGAAATACTCTCACACGGCCACGCGTATATAGCCTCTGCCAGGGAAGTTCTACTCATTGCCTTCTCGTGGTGGGGGTGCTGTTTACGAAAATGAGAGGACGAAAAGCGAATGTCCGGCGCTTTAACCGGATCCCAAACCAATGGTGCATATGGGCTATTATTATTATTATTATTATTATTATTATTATTATTATTATTATTATTATTATTATTATTATTATTATTATTATTTACCACATTATTCACCCTCGTCTTTGGTGGAAATTCGACTGTATCTAAACGTTCTCGAGTCACTGTCCGGTTGAAAATTGTATGTTACCACTGAATATGAGTACTGAAGCAGTTTTTTTGAAACCACTTGCACCATTCAAACTGGCTACCTTCAACGTTCGCACACTTATGCGGGTTGGACAACAGATAGGGCTGGCTATGTCTTTGGAAAGTCGTAATATCGATGTCTGCTGTCTATCCGAGCCCCGTATTCAAGACTCTGGTGAAGTACTACAAATTCGCTCTACATCTGTCACTTCAAAAAGCTTGTTTTACGTGAGCTTTTTCCGGGGACCCTGTGGCATCTACGTCTGGTCTCGCTGGCGTTAATGTCGCACTAAGCGCTAGAGCTGAGGCAGCACTAGTCGATTGGATCCCCATTAACAGTCGGTTATGTGCTGTTAGATTAGAGAGTTCCATCAAAGTGAGAGGAAATCGGCGTGAGAAACGATGTCTTTTCGTCATCTCCGCCTATGCCCCGAGAGATTGAAGCCCGGATGCAATCAAGGATGAGTTTTACCACCAGTTATCTGTTCTTCACCAGAAAGTGCGTTCGACAGATATTGTAGTACTAGCTGGAGACTTGGATGCTTAGGTCGGGCGTCTAGGCACAGAAGAGAGTCGTTTAGGTGGCCGATGGGGACTCGTTGGTCGCAGGTCAGATAACGGGGACCGTCTACTGCAACTTTGCACAGACCACAACCTGTTTCTGGCTAGCACTAACTTTCGGCACAGTCATCGCCGATGTGCCACCTGGCGTCCTCCCTCTGCATCTCAAGCCTGGACTCAGATTGATCACATCGCGATCAGCTACCGCTGGCGTGGTTGTGTACAAGACTGCCGCTCCTTTTGGAGTACCTATCTGGACTCTGACCATGCTTTGGTCTGCGCCAATCCTACCTTACTTTTCAGTGGACAACGAAGTGACCGCCACCAACGGATTGATGTTAGCAAGCTGGTTGCAACTTCTGTTGCAAATAAGTATCGAACCGAGCTAGCCTCTAGGCTAGCTACCATTCCACCGAAAAGTATAGATGAGCATTGGTTGCAATTGTATGACGCCATGAAAATGGCGGGTACAGTCAGTTGTGGGTTCGCGAAACGTCCCGCTTATAAGCACTGGGTTTCTGCAGGTTCCTTACAACTCATTGAAGCCCGTCGGTCTACTCTGAGTGACCGTGAGTTTGACCGCAAACAAAGGGTGCAACGTAAGGAAATTGGGCAAAGCTTGAGTAAGGACCGAGAAGCCTGGTGGTCGAAGCGTGCTAATGAGCTGGAAGCAGCAGCTGCATCTGGTAACTACCGGAAGCTCTTCCAACTCATCCGAGCCACTGGCAGCAAGAAGTCTGGTGTGAGTGAAACAATCTGCGAGGATGATGAGATGCCAATCACTAACATCCATCGACGTCTTGGACGATGGGCAGAATTTTTCGAAGGGCAGTTCAACTGGCCTGCTGCTCCGGCAACATCGGTCAGACTGTCCTTTCCTCCATGGCCGGTGACGACTGACGCACCAAATGAGGCGGAAGTCCGCAAGGAACTCCAACTCTTGAAGCGTTACAAATCACTTGGCCTAGATGACTTACCTCCGGCCCTTTTTAAAGATGGTGGTGACTTACTGATTAAGGAATTGACGACGTTGTTTACAAAGGTTTGGGAACTAGAGAGTGTACCAATGTCATGGAATGAGTCGATAGTTGTCCCTATCTTTAAAAAGGGTTCACGTCGTTCCTGTAACAACTATCGGGGGATAAGTCTATTTCCGATTGCATCCAAGCTATTGGCTTCCATCATACTTCGTAGGTTGTTCAAAACCCGAGAAAGATTGACCCGCGAGAAGCAGGCTAGATTTCGTCCTGGTCGAGGATGTATTGCTCATATCTTCACTCTCCGCCAACTGTTAGAACACCGCCATACTTTTCAAAGGCCAACAATCGTAGTGTTTCTTGACATCAGGGCTGTCCTCGATTCGTTGGATAGGTCTGTTCTCTGGGATTCTCTACTGAAGAAGGGTGTGCCTGAGAAGTTTATTAGCAACCTAAAATCCCTATACACAAACACTTCAGGCAGAGTGGGGGCATACAACCACCTTTCTCCACTGCTCCATTCAAACAGTCAGGTCAGACAGGGTTGCCCAATCTCACCATTCCTCTTCAACTTTGCCATCGATGACATTCTGGAAACAGTTCTGATGGATGTAAGTAATGGCGGTGTGGATCTATTGCCTGGAGAAAGACTTCTCGACCTTTAGTGTGCGGATGATATTGTCTTACTGTGCGATAATGCCCAAGCCATGCAATCCGCACTTAATCAGTTGGCAATCAGTGTCCGTAGGTACGACATGTGCTTCGCACCTTCGAAGTGCAAAGTACTTCTACAAGACTGGCAGTATTCTAATCCTGTACTCACCCTGGATGGTGAGCAGATAGAAGTAGTCGAGAAGTTCGTATATCTAGGTAGCTGCATAAGTGCTGGTGGTGGCGTGAGTGATGAGGTCAATGCACGTATAGTGAAAGCCAGAGCGGCTTATGCCAATCTGGGCCATCTTTGGCGTCTTCGTGATGTTAGTCTGGCTGTAAAACGTCGGATCTACAACGCGTCGGTGAGAGCAGTTTTGCTCTATGCTTGTGAAACCTGGCCTCTCCGAGTTGAGGATGTTAGACGACTCTCCGTGTTTGATCATCGTTTGTCTCCGAAGGATTGCTGACATCCAGCGGCAACACCATGTTAGTAATGCAGAGGTTCGGCATCGTGTGTTCGGGCACAGAGATGATAATGCAATCGATGTCACCATCTTGAAACATCGACTTCGGTGGCTTGGACATGTTCTCCGAATGTCGTCCCAGAGAATCCCACGTCGTGAATTATTTGCCGACTCTGGGACTGGTTGGAGGAAGCGGAGAGGTGGTCAGTGCATGACATGGTGTCGTGGTATGAAAGAAAGCTGCAAAGGACTGGCTTCTGTCGGTCCTTCACGCCTCCCTGGTTGGGGTCTGAGAGATGGTGCTACACAGTGGCTAGAGACGTTGTCAGATATGGCTCAGAATAGAAGCCAGTGGCGATCCTGCTGTAACCTTCTTTTACTTTCTTCATAAAAAGTGGTTGTGTCTCCCTTATCTGAAAGATTTCTTCTGATTGTACCTTTCCGTTCCCTCATTATTACTATTATTATTACTACACTACCTTACACCAATCTCTTCGTTACTGTTCTCTTTTTTTTCCTTCTCTTCGAATTCTCATTGTTTTGTGTGGCGCATATATATTGGCGCTCTCTTGTCCCAATATTTATGTGTTCAAGTAAATAAATAAATAATAACCTATATCAAGATGATCTGCTAATATTCAATATTTGCACAATGCTGAACTTGAGACAACAATTCTAGGTTATAGGTATACCAACTGATAAGGCATGAATGAGTATAAACAGAAATTCTGTATCCCCTTATTAGCCATAAACAAATGTGACTGATAGGTCAAACACTCTAATATATTTTTCCTGTTATTTTGAATGATCAGTTTACAGAAAACACTTGTAGTTGGCAGTACATGTTGTAAGTGCACAGGGATTAGGTATATTCCTTCCTGGCTGAGCTCACCTACTTAGGGATCAAGTCACTCTCTACAATTACTGCCCCTAAATGTCCTTGTACGGCTGAGAGTGAGGAGAACCCTCTTTCACTCTCGAAATGTCCTCATATGGCCATGTGTATACAACCACTATCAGGGAAGTCTTAATCACTTCCTTCTCTAGGCGGAGCTGCTGTTTACGTAATTTAGGGGACGAAAAGCGAAAATCCGCCGCTTCATCCATGTTGGTGGGTACGGAGAATCCATTAAAAGTTGTTGGAAAACCCTGATTTGAAACCAGTATCGCACATGGGCTCCAGAATCCTGAGGGAACAAATGGAGTATGAACCTATTTTCGGTCACCAACTACCATGGGACCAAATCTCCGAACGTCGCTTCACTGCCTTGTGGATTTCAGGTCGTTGTCCCCGAAGAAAAACACTTGTCTCGGTTTGGCCAACTGAACAATATCCGAGTCCACACAACTATTTTATGTTGCACATAAATATTTTGGTGTCCTTTTGTACCAACGATTACGTGTATAAATAAATAAACTACAGTAACTACATTTAAAGAGGTATTTTGGATGGAGCTGGATAGTTTCGGAAAAACTAACCCAATTATTGCTTTCTAGGAGTGGTACTGTCTTTACTTTTCGAACTTTTGTAGGTTCGTTTGACAAAACACTTCACATGGAATTCTTTAAGGGACTTTTTCGTTTTCGAACTTAATGCTGCACCTCAACCTGTACTTAACCCACTCGAGTTATTAAAATATAAATGGTTTATTCTTTAGATAATGTGGTGTGTAACCAAAGAGTATCATTTTGGAGGAAGTCGTTAGAATTATTAGTAGAAATACTTCAAAATAGCTCAAAGAAAAAATACGTCACAGTATCTCAAAAAAGCTTTTTAAAAATTCATAAAAACTGTACAAGATGATAGGTGTATCAGTTATTTACAGTTATCCTTTTCCTGTCTCAATCACTATC